TCTCCACCGACCTCTTTCGCCGCGAGAAAGGCGCCACTTTCCTGGAAGATAGCCGGTGCAAAAAGGTGCTCGACCCCGAACTTGCCTTCGACCACGGAAAGATCCGGCAGCTAGACGCTATTCCCGATGATTTTTTCATTTTGTATTACAATAGATGTAGAAAGCATTCGTACGTATCCTTATTTTCTAACGAGAGGATTTCTTCTTTTTCTGTTTCATAGTACGTTTCATTTTAGTAACATCGAATTTTTATAGTCGTACGAAGGCATTAGTAACTGGTATGAAATTTAACGAACTTGGACTTAGTTAGTTAGTTATACAAATGTTATAGGAAATAAATACAGTGGTGTACGAATAATTTTTGTAGCCACTGTATTTTATTTTATTAGGTAAATACCTAATTATGCAATGTAATATAACGTTATATTATGTTCATTTAAATATTAATATTAGTACTTCGTTTATATCATCACTATTGAATTTTTCAATTTTATTATCACATTATTCGTATCATTTACTGGTATTTTCACAAGTTTATAAACATTTTTATGCTATTCTATATGTTCTATACTGTTTGATGCACCATTTATACAAAGTTCAATTAAGACAACTGGTTTCTTTGTTTTCTAAGAACAAAAAAGGCGAAAGCTTCCCGATCGATCTAATAATTCGGCCGTAATGGATGTGTGTAGCTTGCAATGGTTTATCTGAATTTGTTAAAATGCTTATTGAATGGAAATTTAATGGTTTACTTCGAAATGGCCCGTGGAAATTTTGGGCAGTTTTGTTGTTGTTCGAAAGAGGATGATATTTAGAGTTGGACGATAATAATGCGTCCGGAGGGTATTGTTTCAGAACGCTCTAAAGTTAGGTGTAATTTGACGTTCTGTTGAAACACACTTGGTAATTACAAGTAACGTTCGAAGTGAGATAGGATGCTGATTAGGTAAGTTTCGCGTTTGCCAGGTTTCTAAGTACCTGAACTTTAATTGAACTTTAATTTTGATAATGGTCTGATAAGAACAAAAATTTCTAATCAGAGTGTTTAGAATTGCTAGACAGACGTGTATCTGTTCCTGTATTTGTTGTTTTATGTTAAAGTTTCTCATTTATATTGCATTATTTATATCGCTAGTCAATTTGAAAATTCTATGAAAGTTTAATTTACAAATTTTAGAATAATTTCAATTTCGATTAAGAAAAGAACAATTAATTTCCTAAAATACGTCGATAAGTCTGGAAAATTCTGTTATAAAGTGTTCGAGTCATGTTCATAAAACGTAAAGTAAGGAGAAGTTTGTATTAAAGGAATTATAAATAAATCGTCAAATAATAATCCAATTGAAACTTTCGAGAACTTTAAAAGAATTTTCGTTATACCATAACTATACGTCATTAAGAAAACATTTGACACTTAAATATTAGTCTTTGAAAGTATAAAATCATATCGTCTAGCGATTAAAAAATTTATGACATCTTGCGCATTTGTCTTTCTCTAGAAGCAAACCTCTTTTCATCCTTCTGGAAATATCCTTAATCAGTGTTGAATGTATCTTCTCGGAGAAAGTACACAAAATGTATATATCTATTATCATAAATCTAATATTGTTTGGAAAAAGGTATCTCGAGGTAACTAACCACGAAGTGCTGATAATACGATCGATTTCAGATAAGCTATGCTTTAAAAGTGTCGTAACCATCGAAGAGTTGGTCATTCTATTGTGTTATTAGTTGTACAATCCTTTCGCACGTTAATCATTATACCAAAGAAAAAGATCTCGATTGCATAAACCAAACTTCAAAAGAAGAGAAAAGTGCTGCGTTTCGTCCTTACCGAGTCGTAAGACGCTTATACTTTAATTATTCAATTTTTCCTTTATCGAAAAGTACTGATGAAAGAGCGAAATATAATTTTAAGCAATGTGATGCAACGTTATACAATTTCGTAATTAAAGATTTTCATAGAAGCAAGAAAAAAAGAGTTACGTAAAGAATAAGTCCTGCTCTATGATACAATTTTTACGATATCGAAACTTCGTGTTTATTTATTAGATGTTCCTATTATTAGAAAGTAAAGTATCGTATATAACAACGAAAGCAAAGTTTGACTTTAAATAATTTCATAACCAGAGAACCTTGTAGAGACAAGTACAGAATTTTAATGATAATTATGTTTCAATTCATAAATGTTCGTTATTCACATCATTAAAATTTAATTAAGAATTACAACAGGATATCTTATGTAGAAAGAGGGTAAAAATCTCCAACTTATCCTGTAGGAAGTAATTGAATAAAGTCAACGATAATTAATCTACAAACAGCCAATTAGTAGACAGATAGCTTAAAGAACGTTTATTAGCAAATTAAAAATGGAAAGATCTAATCGCCTGTACATTGACGACACGATGGAAAATCGTGTTGACCCTTGTCAAGATGTTACATAGATATTGACGTGTCTCGTCGTGACCAAGTATGTAATCTTCTCCGATGCTGATAGTTTCATACAAATTTATAATAAAATATAATAATCAGAGAAAAATTTTGAAGCTGGGAAATTTTCTCTATTAGCCATTCTTTTTCGAACTAATTAATAAGTATTTTAACGCGACTATGCAATATCATTAAGGACTATATGGTGCATATTAAAAATGTAACACAAATGAACTTGGGAATCTGCGAAGAGAAATATTCCGAACATAAATTTTATTTAATAAATCTAGATATCGAATATAAAAGATTTGCTAAATTTTACCATAAACATAAAATGATTGTGAATATTATTTTACTAAAAGTAATTTATTTGGTTACTTACATAATTGTCATTATTTTTAACAACTTTTTCATTATGTTTGTGAAATTCAGATAACCCTATTGATTAAATGTATTTAATTTTTGTTTACAAAGTGGAAATATAATTGACTTTTCTTCAAACGTCTGGAATTTCTCTCCATCTCAATTGTTTTGTGATGCACGAAGTAAATAAAAATCGGAGAAAGCTACAGCCGGACTATATGACGGATACGTTACAATGATTCAATTCAGCTCGTGGAGCTTATTTTCTCTCTGCACTAAGGCGTGCAGTCTGCCGTTGCAGTGATAAAGCATAATCTCCTTGCGATTAGATAAAATTGAATTCCTTCCTTCAACCACTTTCTTTAATTTCTTTAATCTTTAGAAGTATTTTAGAGGATTAACACATTAATTAGCGTAATATTACGTATGCCAGAAGCAACCTAGTCAATTATTAATGACAGAAGAGAAAATAGACATGGAGAAAGCAAGAATCCTTTATATTTATTCGAATTAATAGTAGCGAGTGATGCAAGGCAAGATATTCCATAGAAAACTCTAAAAATTCTTATTTTTGCCTTAACCCAGATATGCTCGTTATTCTTCTACAAGGATGATAGCGATATACTTTTATTATATCTCGTAACTTTCGCAGCACTGTCCACATAACGCGATATCCTTTGAAATGATTGGACATTAATAAGCGTTTAATTAGTACGTTCCATTGTGCACCTAAGTAAAAGAAAATATGAAGAAATTATTTTAAAATATGACACAACGTTAAAGATTCAGGCATATCTGGATTAATTACAAAAAGCTTGTAACATCCTATTTTATTGTAAAATTTCTGTAAAATTATCGAACGTGAACGTGTTAATTTTCGCTACTTCGAATTGTAGATTATAATATAAAGTCCTTCAGAATTCTAGCAATCGATTAATTGCAAAAATATTTGCCCAATTTTTCGATATTCTCCTATTTCTTTTTCTCTTTTTCTGTCTTTCTGTTCTTCGCGATTTTTTTATACAAAACATTACCATCATTTGCAGAAGCTCGCACGAGCAGCGTACTATAGAACGAGCAGCAACAAGTAATAATTTTCACGCATCCATATCTGTCACGTGATTAAAATTAATTCCACCAGCGATGATTCCACGCTACGTTAAAATTTTTAATAAGGCGTTCGTCGAACCAAGAACCAAATTGATTCACCGTGTATTTCGGCATTCCTACAAATTTCCACAGTCAGTTTTTAATCGAAAATAATGAACACTTTTTAGTTACCCAACTCACGCGAATGGCGTTTCTCGTCAGCTGTGCCGACCTCACATTCTCGGTCACGATTATTGATCTGGTCTGATTAAAAAATACCTAATAA